TATGTATGTATGTATGGATATCAATGTCGTATGATGATTTAAGCATACATATTCAGACAACTACTTACGTTGATGGTTTTGCCTGCCGAAGCGATGGAAGTAGGAGAGTTCGGAATGTACTTAGCCCACTGCATGAGATGATTTTAAGTTTTGTACGTGTTAGTAAGTCTTTATCCAAAAAATAAACGTGAATTGTAATAAACGAAAATAACCTAAACTATGTAAAATCTCGACAGTTCCCTATAAAAAAACATATATATATGGTGTATATCTATTTATAAAATTTCTGATGAAGAGAAAGCCAATTGGGCTTGAAGTATATGTATTGTTTTTTGTTTAGGAAAATGGTTTTTTTATCGGTAAAACTTATAGGAAATTTCCTATTTATGACAGTCTTACGTTTTTGGCGGCGGTGCTGAAAGCTTCACGATGTGGGATCTCCGGGTTCGCAGCTTTGATACGTTGTATCTCTTCCCTTTTCGTGTTCCATTAATTGTACATTGGTATTTACAAACGAAAGTTGATTAATTTATTTGAAAAACATGCCCAAATGATCTCATTAATTTCTCTAACCAATACATTGAAATCAAATGTATGGTAATTAAATCAAAAGAAAAAATGTATGGTAAACAATAATATTACCTCATGAACCGATTGTAAGCCGATGGAAGCCTCTGCTTTTTCTCGGGCGCTGCAATGCCAATATTGGTTAAAAGAAGTGTATAAATATATATGCGTGTATATATATATGGATGATCATGCATGTATGAGTTATTATGCTTACGTTTAACCACAAAAGGTTCTCTAGGAGACAGTGGTTGGTAGCTCGAAGTGGACGAGGAAGATGACGAAGATGAACTTCCCTTCTTGAACTCATTGTTGCCACAGAAGCTCTGCATCTGCTTTAACCCTAAATCAGTATACATCCCTCCCATTGTATATACTATTAATTAGAATATATCACAGATTAGATAACGTGTGATGTATTCGAACGTATACTCAAAGTACACACACACACACTACACTTATTATAAAATGAGAAACTGTTTGAAAGCAAGAGTTTGTGCCCTAAAAGGAAACCAATTGATC